GGAAGAGCACACACCAACTGGGACGCTTCCTCAGCCTGATGAAGAGTATTTGTGCATGAAAGCTTGCAAAGAAGAATTTTTCCAACTACTTGAGTTGGTTTAATAAAAGATATCAAATTTACCCAAAGAACCTTGCCTGCCTATGTCCTTAGACCAACACGGCTACATCCTATACCCCTATAACACAGAATGTTTTTGGCAAGTTTAATAAATGTGAAAAAACAATAGTCATAACTTGAACCCATTTATTCCCCTGAAATGAAAGATGACAGCCATATTATCATTATCATTAAGAGACATTTAAAAAAATTGGAGAAGGTTGCCCAGATCATGGTCCTTATTTCCTTTTTTTTTAAAACAAAGACACCATGCTACAAATTTTATTTTTCCTTCATTTACAAACATATATAAAACATATGGAAACACGCACAATAGAGTAAAACAAGATGGTAAATGCTACTTCTTCAAAATATACCATATTTATTTCTTAAACATGCATCTTTAATGGTAATAACTGGAGGCTGTCAGATCTCACACATTCAAAGATGAGCTAAGTTCTAAGTACTTTGGGACTTGTTGACGACTACTTAGTATGTTCTACTTTTTCCTGGAGTCAATATGAGACTAATGTTCCAGTAGGTCATTAGCATACTACATGCAGCATGGTACTCCTGCTGATAACAGCAGGAACTGCATATAGAGATAGCCTTTAAAATGTCCCACATGTTACCTCATTACCTGTGTTGGCAGTCTCAAAAAGGCATACCACTTAAGTTTTAAGAAACTTCATCTTAGCACAAAGGTGAACTGATGGGGTGTGAACAGATCAGATGTCAGTGAAGCTGTAGCACAACCACGGAAGGAGGGAGAGAGATAAGAGCAGCAGCCTGTTATTGCTGTCCTTCAAAAACCTGGGAAAACCTAAATAAAAAATAAATAAAATATCCTTTATAACTAGTTATGCAACTGAAATCATTAATATTTACATCCCAACAGATGTGCAAAATCCATCTTTTCCTTAATTCTACAAGGAAGCACGGTGACAAAACAATTAAGGCAGATCCAGAGTCTGACTGCTGTGGATGGCTGCCTCCAGTTCATCCTGGCTGTATATGGGTACCTGGTCATTCAGCCAGATGTGATGCTAGCTACATCATGCCCTTCTGTGCCACTGGCTCCAGAAACTGGCATGCCTTTGTCAAGCCAGCCTGCTGGACCTTCTAGCCTCAGATGGCAGCTATAGGTGGGAACACACTGGAAATGAAAATACTGTTTTGTTAACTCTAAATACAGAATAAAAGTTATTAGTAAGCCTAGGCAGCCCATACTGCCCATGACACTTTTTGAAGTAAGCAGCTTTCAGAAACCTAACTGTTTTATAATAAATTATATCATTATAGGTATGTCACAGAAATGAGGAAAAATACTTAAATTTTCCCTATCTTGAAACAGAAAGCTTTTTATTTTCTATCTAAATATTAATCACAAAACCATGGGACTGGAAGCGACCTCAAGTCATCTGATCCAACCCCCCAAATGAATGCAGGAATGCTACTCCCAAATCATCCCTATCCAATACTTACCCAATTTTTCCCTGAAAACCTCCAATGAAGGAGATTCCACAACTTCCCTGGGCAGTTTATTCCACTTCCTCACTGTTCTAACAGCAATGAAGTCCTTCTCAAGATCTAGTCTGATGTGAAGCCACTACTTTGCATTCTGCTCTCTGTAGCAAGGGGAGAACAGTTGCTTTCCCTTTTCCTTATGGCAACCTTTCAGAAATTTAAAACAGCTATCAAGTTCCCCCTTAACTGCCTTTTCTCCAAGCTATACACTCAATTCTCTGTCTTTCCTTGTACAGCTTGCCTTTTAACCCCTTGATCATTTTTGTCATTCACCTATGGACCCTAACTTCTCCACATCTTTCTTAAAATGTGGAGCCCAGGACTGCACACAACAGTCTAGACAAGGCCAAACTGGTGCTGAATAAAGTGACCTTATCACCTTCCCTTGTCTTGCATGTAATATTCCTATTGATCCAGCCCAAAATAGCATTTGCTTTTTTTTTATTTTATTTTTTTAAGATGCTGCTTGATAAAATAGATTTTTCTTTTTCCAGGAAATACTTGTCATATTAAAGTATTATTGTTACATTCCTTCAGTGGTTTTAAATGGCCACAGCTTTTGGAATCACAAATAACTGGACTCCAAATATTTGTTTTTCTTCCCTTCCTGAAATTAAGGATTCAGTTACTGATCACTTATAAGATATTTTTTCCTTTTTTTTTGTTTTAAAAGTCAAAGCAAAAACAGTTCCTCACAGGGTTTCAGACAGGTTCCCGTGGGATGGTTTTCAAGAAACATTTAAATTCTTCAGGCGAGTCAAAAAAAATAAATCTTTGGCCTTTGTAAATCAGATTTAAACACATTGGAAGCCAAACATCACAGGGGAAACTTCTCTTTAAAAGTAGATCTTGATGTCTGAACAAATCCCAGTGATGCTTCATAATTTCACCTTTTTAAAACACAGAAAGAGAAATAATGGTAAATGTACTTTTTGTATCTATATGTCCCATGAATTATCTTTCTATATAAACATTGGCCAAGAGAAGAATAACAGTGTATCCTATTATATTTTTTATTCAGTCTATTTAGTTTACAGGAAAGAAAGACTATCAGTGTATTTTCCACATGAACTATAAGTTGCAAAAGACTCAATTCACCACTGTCCTACACCTTGTGTTCCATTGTTTGCCTTCGTTTATACCTGTGTAACTTAATACAAATTTAAGGTAGTGGAGGAGCAGGCCCCAAATGTCTTGGATTTTTTTCCCTCTGCTAAACAGAGTTCCTCATGCTCTGCAATCTGTTCTCAACTCTCAGTGTTTTTTACCACTGGTCATTATAGCTTGTTAATTTTCTTTTTGGAATTTTTAGATTGAACAAATAAGAGTCACTTGATTCCCCCTTCTTTCTTGGGGGGAAAAAGGTGCACTGGAAGTTTAAATTTAAAATGAAAGCGTCACTACATTAAAAATAAGTTACACTATCTTTTTTAAATGGAGACAAACACATTTCTTTAATTTGAATGAATCTAAGGAAGCCCAATTGTTGATATTGTACTGACACTTTACTCTCTTGTACCTGTAAAATAATTTGGAGGCAGTGTGGTTTCTTTCATTTAGTTGAAAAAAAATCATACTTCTGCCACTACATGTGCAGGGGGCTGACACTTTGACATTACAAATCAGAAAATGCATGTTAAAGCGTTCAACAGAAAACTTGTCATCACTTATGTAAATTTAGTTTTGCTTAAAGAAAATACTGTTGGGTTAATTCCCCCACAGGTCTTACAATTCTATTTGGCCAGTTTTTGAATACTCAGAGAATGGAAGGATAAAAATATAGTAGATTTTACAAGCTGGGAAAGCAGACAGCCATAGTCAGCACTGACCTAGGAAGTCACAGTCAAGATAAGTAGGTAGGAACAAATGCAGCAACCCCTGTTCAGTGACCAAAACACTGCCAGAGACCCAGGAGATGGAAATTGGAAGCAGCTAGTAGACTCAATCTTCTGTGTAAAAGCAATGTTTAAAACCAGAGTTCTTTCGTTAATTTCCCAAGAAAAATCTGCCACGACTCAGCTCTTCAGATTCAGACCACATGATATATAAGAAAGAAATGCAATATCTTTCCTCCTTTCCCCACCTGGATCATTCTCCAGATGTGTACAACACTGAATGAAAATGATTCCTATCAACAAGTAACACATCCCATTCTGCAGCATTCTTCCAGCCCTTTACTGGCAGGATTAGATGGTGCAGCACTCACCAGGAACAATGCACTTGTTTTCCAAACAGGTAGAAAGCATGTATTCTGAACGATCTGCCTATTGAAAGCTAGGGACGTTACTAAAATACAGTGCTCTTTCAGCTGGTTTGTGACAATTTGGATGAGATGTGTCGTACAGCATCACAATGGCTTGAAAGCAGATTCATGCAGTGTGACAGTTTCTTTGAGGTTTGACACTCTGATAAAACAAGATATTTAATAATTCAGCTAGTGAGAAGGCTAGAAAAAAAACTTCCGTTTTAACTTTAGCACAATGGCCTGATTCTTTCACCTGTGCAGTTTGGACTGTTAATAATACATACGCTTCTCATAAATCTGTTTCTTTTTCATTGTAGGAATCCTTGGAGTCCAGATTTGTCTTCCAAGGTTTGATCCGCTGATCCCAGGATGTCAAGCTGCACTTGCATTCATTTTGCATCCCTGAAGGAAGTCCTTCTTCTTTAATGCTTCTATTTATAAAGACATATTAGATGCTTTCAAACATTAAATTAACACTTTTAAAAAACAGATCACATTTCCCAATTTCACTGTCAACTGGAAGTTTGTTCTTTCAAGGGTTCAGAGACCACTGAAATCATATGAAGAACTGTCACTGACATTAATGATTGATTCTTAATGATACACATCTAAACTCTTAAAACTGATGAACCAATCACAATATTGAAATACTAACTCAGCATTCTATTTTTAGTAGAGGTGCAATGATATATCGGTCCATGTCGGCATCAATAAATGGGAAATTGGCATTATTGGCAATCGGCTTTTTTTGGCTGACGTGGCTGATAATGTTGCTGATAAATGCTGTGTGCATACATGCAGCCACAGCATACACATGGCCGGTCAGCCCGGCACCTTGGACAGCAGCGTCTGGCTGGTAAGTCTGTTGGGGGAGAAGAAGCAGAGGGCAGGGGGCAGATTAAGGCCACCGCTGTGACAGAGGAGGGAGGCTGGGGCTGGGGCAGGTGCTACCCAGCTTGGGCGGGGCATGACACGGAACGGAGCTGCAAGTGGTTCATCCGGGGGAGCACAGGAAGGCAGGTTGCCACTGTGGGCCAGAGCCAGGGGCAGCGCTAGGCTCTTTCCAGCTGGGGGTGGGTTGAGCTTGGGCTGTGCTTGGGCTGGGCAGCAGTGGCACTGGGAGAGGAAGCTAAGTGGTGGGCTACAGTCCCCCTCCCAGTGCTGCCAATGCCTGCCCCAAGCGCAGCCCTGACCCAACCCCCTCGCCAGGGAGAGCCCAGTGCTGACCCCTGTTCACAGCGGCAACCTGCCTTCACCCTGCACTTGGATCTGGAGGAGCACAGTCCCCCCATGCCTCTATGGGGGTGCAAACAATGGCAAGAGCTGCCCCCTCCCCACGCCCCCTGGACAAGCTGCTCATGGCTCCATCCTGTGCCCTGCCCTGGCTGGGCAGTGCCTGCCCCAGCCCCCCTCCTACCATGGGGGCCTCAATCTGCAGCCCCCCCACACATACTTTCCCACCCCTTTCCCACCAGCAGACTTACCAGCCAGATGCTACTCTCCAAACCGCATATTGGCAATCAGATTGGTATCAGTCAATGTGGCTCATTAATAATTAGCTATCAGTATTGGCCCAAAAAATATTTATCCGTGAACCCCTAATTTTTAGTGGGCTGTAACGCAGGATGCTAAGAGAGGACTATCAGGTAGTCATAGCTATCACAGTAAGATATTAGATTAATTAAGCTCTCAATTCATACCTTTACCAGTTACCACTGCTGTACTCAAGGAGTTGTCTCCTCTATTTGGTACTACAGTGAAGTGAAAATCTGTTAGAAATTTTTGTATTAGTCATTGCTGCAAATGCAGCATTGTGACTTCATTGCAGAATGAAGGGAAAACCATCACTCAGGAAAGCCATTACTGAAAGCATATTTTCAAAGGAATAAAGAAAGATTTTTCTACTTATTAATAATAAAGGAAAAACAAAATAAAAGTAAAAATTACCTATGTATTCCCAGTTCATAGTTGAATGGATTATAAAGGAAATTGGCATGCTAATCTATAGAACAGGAATGAAGTGGATTCAGCAAAAGTTAAGAGAGGGTGCTGGCAGCATCATTCTGGCTACGTCCCATGAAAACAAGTTCTGCAGAAAACTTGTCAGACCTTCCTCAATAATCCTGGCAGAGACTAAAGAAGGGAGATCCACACCCCACAATCCAGTGAGGCTGACTGCCCTACTGGAAGAAAGTGCTACAGGAGGTTCCATTTATTATTCTTCAATTTTTTTTTTAATTCATCCTTAAATAATACACAAAAGGCTCTTGGCTTAGTGGTTTAAGAGCAGTACATTTTATCCCCATCCAGGAGACTGGCTCAAGAGGGACGTCTAATTGAGGTCTTCTCTTGTCCACTGCTGAGGACTGACTGTGAGCATCATTTAACTGAAAAGGTCCGTGGTTAAAATGAAATGGATGCACAGTGAGTTGGGGAAAATACTGACCAAGGAAGAGACATATATACAAATAGATGGACCTTCCTCACAACAGGCTAAATGTACTAGAAAACATGGGAAGTTGTCATACACTTGCCTTGCTATTTCTTTAATCTTTTTCCTCATTATTTTATCTTCAGCACCCACATTTCTCCAGTCAGAACACCTCGAAAGGGAGCTACAGTCTTCTGGTAACATACACCTGCAAAGTTTAAACCGCCAAATAAAGCAGCAGCCTTTTATGCCTCACTTTCACCTCAACAGTAGCCAAAAACTAATGCATTTACTTTGGTTACTTAGCTAAACACCTTTACTAATGTGATAAAGTGACACCTGTATCAAATCATAATTTACAGTTTATTCTCTGAAAGACTTGTTCTGTCACACACATTGCACTTGCAGTGAAGCAGTGTATTAAGGACAGCCTTCATTCAAGCTGCATACATTTTAAAACCATCTTTAAGTATATCCAGTAGACATTGCAACCCAATTTGCAATTATGTCTTTAAAGACATCTTGACACCCAACTTAATACTTCCAAAAATGCTGCAGTGTATAGCATATGCTTTATACCTCGCCAGCGTCGAATCCGATTCTCTGCACTCTTCTCTGTCAAATACAAAGTCAGGTTCGTTCTGTATTTCACGGTTCCGCCCTTGAGAAGGTCTGGGTGGCAGCTGAAAACTGCAGAGAAGCAAATGCAAACATTAGCTGTTAGGTACAATACTGTGTCCAACAAGGCAAAAAGGTAGATGGCCTGTGACTGCTGCATTTAATAAGTAAAAAGCCAATTATTAGCAAGCCTGATTCTACAAAATACAGAGTACCCGTCACTTTCCTTGAAGTCAGTGGGAACAAAAGGGGCCCAACATCTTTGCAGGATCAGATCCTGAGAGAAGGAAGTATTAATAGCAAATAGACAGGAGCCAGGTTGGAAACAGTCACAGAATCAAGAGTAGGCATCACATTTAAGGAGCTTGGAGAAAAAAGGAGGGGCACAAGCCAAGAGAGAAACAGCTGGGAGACCAGAGACGGTATCTTGAGGAGAGTGATCCACCAGGATAAAGGTGGAAAGAAAAGAACTAAATGAAACAGTGAAAGTGGGGATGGTTAAAAGTAAGCTTACGGAAATGTTAGGCATAAAGATATATGGGAAGGGATTTGTAGCACGAGAAGATATGAATAGTACCATGGTATTTACTTGGTTACTTCTTTACTAAACTATTCTCACCATTTTCACCTGATGCTACCCAGTTTGAGCTCCCTGTAAGTGCCTCCTGACCTCCAAATTCAGTAAAACTAGAAAGAAATTGAAACAGTCTCAAAAAGAAACAAAGAATCAAGCTCACAACATCATTTAAAGGGCGTTTATCTTCTTCACCTAGGTGCACATTAGAGGAACAAACAGTACATATAAGCATTGGCCATAATGATATAAATGTACACAGCACCATCAGTATATGTAGCATTATAAAATGTGAACAGTACTAAGTGGCTGGTTTCTGTTCCAATTTATAGTCTAAAACAGCGGTTCCCAACCTCAGGTTGCGACCCAAATGAGGGTTGTGGGGCCAATTGACTTATTTAGATTTAAGATACCTTCCATGTTTGCGCTACTTGGCCTACAGCTAAAGCTAGTTCACTTTCACAGTGAAATGCGCACACTATTTTACATCATGCTACACAATGGTTCGGACAAAGTTAAGAATTTTTTTTCCTATTAAAGTCACAGCACACTTTTAGATAAAATTGCAGCCATTAGGAATGTGTTTTATAGAAGCCCAGTCAATAAAGTGAAAAAACAAACAAACAGTTGAACATTTTAGTAAACTACGCCAATACGTCAGCTGGACTTTATACCTCTCCAGGCTGTTCTCTTGATGTCTATACAGGTTTTTGCCATCAGACATGGAGGAATCAGGACCGTTCTGTTTTCTGCGTTTCCATACTGGAGAAGAATCTGGTGAATGACTGCTGCAAATGTAAGAAACATGGATACAGCATTTATCTTGTTTGCTGGCTCCATTGGTCATAGATGGTGCCTCAGCTAGGTTTACTTTGTAGATTTTTTTATGGTTGTTTCCTACCATTACTGTATGATATGCAGAGAATAGCTGAAGAAAACAAAGATGTTCTGGATGCACACCAACAACTGCTTTTGAACCAAGGCATTTGCTGTCCACCAAGGAAGTAGTTCTTGGTGCATAACTGTCCATCTCACAGAATGCAGTACTGCAGCAATGGATAGGGCTTGAAAGTGAAACCACACAACCCTACATGCAGTTCCTTTTAGCTCAGAGTGAAGGCATGCCAGTGGGGCTACATGAAGAACCTTACTACCACTTTACATGCTGTTCTAAGACAGCATATTAGTTAGGGTTGTCAGTCTTGCTCTCTAAGGTGCTACATGTTCTACCTTTAGATTCAATGGCTAGAGATACTTTAGCATTCAACTACAAAAATATACAGCTAGCCCCAAATACTGTAATTCCTTTTTCTATAATTACAGCAATGACTACTCCTAGTATTTTGGCACATCCAGCATTTTACACCACAAAAGCACCGACTGCAACGTGATCAAGTACAGAGTTGCCAAACAGGGCAATTATGTCCTGGCTTCCTCTCTGTATCAAGCAGCTTGTTAATGAAAATTGATTTTAGCAGCACATCATGCACTGTTCCAGTAATCCCAACAGGAAAGTTGTACTTCGTACCTCTCAGGCCCATAATCTGAATGCTCGCTTTGGTTTTCATATGAATTTCTGTTCTGCTTTTCAAACTCAGAAGAATCAGGGTCATTCCAGTCTCTGCAGTGCCATTCCTGAGAACTGCCTGGAGGGTCTGTGCTACTGAAAAATGAAAACCAGCAGTTACTGAAGTCCTGAGGTATTAACTGCACTATGAGAACACAACTGGAGTTACAATAATAATAAGCACAAGGCTTTTAATTTCCAAGAAGTGGTAATGAAAAATGTAAATTGTTTTTGTTGTATTGTAATCCAGTTGCTACATTGCTGTTTCCTTCATTTGTGACCTTAAAATCAATATTAAAAAGTTGATTTAATTGGGCAACACCTTGCAGAAGCTCAACCTTAAAAAAACCCCCCATAAAATGACCCTTATCCCAAGACATGCATCTAGCAGTCAACTTCAGTAACAGTTAACATTCTGTATTAACAGACTTGCACTAGCACTCTCTTTGGGCATCATTGCACATCACCCGGACAAGGGGGAAGACATTGATGTCATATATCTTGACTTTAAAAAAGCCTTTTCATCTGGTATCCCATGATCACCTCTTGGCAAAACTGGCTAACTGCAGCCTCGGCCCCACCACGATCCACTGGCTGGGGAATTGGCTCTGTGGTAGGACTCAGTGGGTGGTGGCTGATGGAAGTCAATCATCATGTTGTGCTGTGACCAGTGGAGTCCCTCAAGGCTCTGTCCTTGGGCTCATACTATTCAACATCTTCATTAATGATGTGGACATTGGTATCAGAAGCGGACTGGCCAAGTTCGCTGATGACACCAAACTCTGGGGTATAGCATCCACACCCAAGGACAGGAGGGTAATTCAGGCTGACTTTTACAGGCTCAGAAAATGGGTGGACGAGAACCTGATGGTGTTTAACATTGATAAATGCAAGGTTCTCTGCCTTGGGAAGAAAAACCTGCAGCATCCTTATAGGTTCGGCAGTGGTACGCTGGCTAGCACTATGGACAAAAGGGACTTGGGGGTTGTGACTGACCACAAGATGAACATGAGCCTGCAGTGTGATGCTGTGGCTAGTACAGTGAGCAAAACGCTGGTTTGCATCCATAG